CAAGATTGAAATATAATTTAAATAAGTTCTGTGGTGGTCTAATAGCTGAATGAGGGAAATCATTATTATGAATGGAGACAAAAATGTTGCACATTCTCTAGTAAATAAGGACTCTCCTTTGTGTTTGGGTTTAAGATTTGGAAAGTTAGCAAATCCAACAAATTAAACAAAATAAATTAGTAAATAAATAGACTAGCGCATTTATTTTTTTCCACCTCATTCTAAAGTATTTTAAAGTTTCTGCAAAATTATAAAGGATCAAGAGGCTAACTTTAATCTTCTACAAGTGCTACTTTAAGCTACATTGAATTTCTTTTACTCTTGAATTTTAAGAAAAGCAGACTTCCTCAAAACAATAAATTGAAGTAATAGAGAATTGAAGTTAGGTCTAGAAAAAAATGTAAGAGGTAAACTGATGAGTATATGATAATGAATTTTACTCTTTCAACGCATAACTATCTTAATTGCATTTGCCTTTGTGGTACAACTGTTAAAGTGGTTCCTATGTTACTGTGAATAAATAACGATTTTGTTTAACATTCATCATATGGAGGAAGTTGACTAATTATGCAGTAAAGTACATTGGAGTGTTAGAGACTGAAGTATTATATCTATTATGTTTGACAGTTAAAAAAATTATTTTTAAGGACTCAAGCAGTCTATCAAAACTTTTTTCTTTTTTTTTTTGTCCGGAAGATTAGCCCTGAGCTAACATCCATGCCAATATACTCCTCTTTTTGCTGAGGAAGATTGGCCCTGGGCTAACATCTGTGCCCATCTTCCTCCACTTTATATGGGACGCTGCCACAGCATGGCTTGACAGGCGGTGCGTCAGTGCGCGCCTGGGATCCAAACCCCAGGCTGCCACAGTAGAGCGTGCGCACCTAACTGCTCTGTCACCAGGCCAGCCCTATCAAAACTTTTTTCAATGAGCCTTTTGTAAATATACAATAAAGAACTTTCTGTAGACTTGTATATCTGTTGGAATATGATGCTGTAACCTAGGATAATAGTCCTTTTCTAGGATCGTGTTAATGAAAACCAGTGGTACAACATAGTTTTATGTAGAAAATAACTCCTTATGTCTAGTACTTCATCTGCATAAGGAATGTCCGGACAGAGATTCTTATACAAGATACAAAAGATCCTTAACATTGAGAGAGATATGTCTTAAGACATTTGTGAATCCACGAATTTGTGAACTCTATTATAGTATTTAATATTTCATTCAAAAGGCATAAAGTATGCAAGGTGAGGATCACGACAGTCACTGATGGATGATACTAGGCAAGCAGCAAGTCCACTAACTAGCCGTGTGACTTGCATGTGCACATGGGCCTCTGTTCATATCTGGGCCTCAGGAATATTGCAAATTGCTGTGTTATCTTGGAGTTTGGAATTGTCGTAGATGATGTAATGGTAGAAACTTGGAATGACAAAAGCCAAGGAAGTATTGTATATCATGTCAGTCCTTACACTTGTAGTCAAATAATTATCAATCATAGATTCCTAATTGGGAATGAGGTTTTTTCAAAGGATTCCCTCTTCTTTTTGCTCTTGTCTTTCCAAGAAACCGTAACAGCACTGAGACATTTTTGTCATTTTCTAATTTAAAAATTATAATATCAAATTACTATATAAAACAGTTTTTCAAACTTTATACATCACCTCTTTTAATATCCTCAGATTTTGAAACTTTCATGTTTCAATGCCGAGTAACACTTCTTTATGTAGTTTTTCACTTGTTGCCTATCATCGTAAATCGTTAATAGAACATTTACCATTTTTTTTAATACACGATGAAAGTGAAACCGTCCCTTCAAATCTAGTTATTGTGGGCTTGTGCACTGACCTGCTATTGGAGGGGGCATAACCCTTGCGGTTCAGCTGCTGCTCTTAAATTGGCCCACCTTACTTTCCAGTGAGTACTTGTTAGCATTTTGGGGTCTCCTTTCCTCAGGCCCATCAGATGTCAACCACAGGTCTTTTGGATGTTGGTGGTTTGTCCTTACCCATTTATATTGTGGGGTTCATGAGAATTCCTTGCTACCTTGTTTTGTTGGAAATGTTGTCGTTAGGATTTGATTTTGCTAACTAGTTAGTTGCTCTGTTTTTATGTGGGGATTCAGAGAAATAAAAACTGGACTGCTCCTACCACCATCTTCTCCAAATCCTTTTAACAATTCCTACTGTACCTATAGTCATGTTTCCTAATGCAGTTTTATTTATATCTTTACTTTCTTTCTCTTGATCATTCTAGTCAGAAGTTTGGTTGTTTTTGTAAAATTTATTTTTCAGAAATACGATGTTTTTTTTTTCACCTTGAGAAACCAACTTTTGGTTCTGTTGTTGTTCTCTCAGGGCGGTGGAGAGGAGAGGTGGGCTGTGCTTGTTAGTTCCAGGCTGTAGCGCTGTCTTGTTATCCTGCCTCCAGCTGTTGCTGGTGTTGCTGCTTTGGCAACGATTCTTACAGGACAAAGTCAGGAAGAGTGAAGGGTACAAGTAGAAAGGTCTCTCTTCCATTCGTGTATGCAAATCTCTGTTGTAACCTGTCATCTCCCATCCCCCACTCTGGAACCCAGTTACCTCTGTTTCCTTAGGAGTTTTCAGAGTTTTGTTTTATATTTTTGATGGTTGTTTGTGTTTAGACTCCATCAATTCTCAATTATATAGCATTTCCAGGGTTGTGTACGGGGTGGGGAAGAGGGTTCAGGAGCTAGTGGCCTATTTAACTTGTCATCTTATTAGGAACCAGATGCATTTTCAGGATTATAGTAAATATAGCCAGATATTGCCCATCACCCATACTGAGGGTTTACTAGCCCTCAGCTGGTAAGGGTCCATTCTTTGTGAGCAATTAAGTTTAATAACATTCACTTCCAACTCCCAATCACAAAAGATGTTTTGTTTCGGGCTAAGCTCTGTGGATGTGATTTGGTAACTGCTTCCCTGAGGACAAACCAATCTGAATCCATTTTTAAATGACATTAGAACTGGACAAGGATAACACCCAATTTAACCTTTTCTCATCTGGGCATTTTGAAATAGGCTTTCTGTATTCTCTACTGTAACTATTATAAACATTCTAAATATTAGCACATAGGTATAATATCTTTGGCAGAGAGGGAAATACATATATTTTTCAGAATATTAAATGCTTCTATATTATTTTCATTATATGTTGCATAATTATCTCTTTAAATGAGATGGCTGCTATCTAATTATAAACGTGTTGTGGTGCTTTTAAAAAATTGTTTTAAAAATCCTTAAATTTGGGGGGCCGGCCCGGTGGCGCAAGCGGTTAAGTGCGCGCACTCCGCTGCGGTGGCCCGGGGTTCGCTGGTTCGCATCCCGGGCGCGCACCGACGCACTGCTTGGCAAGCCGTGTTGTGGCGGCGTCCCATATAAAGTGGAGGAAGATGGGCAAAGATGTTAGCCCAGGGCCGTCTTCCTCAGCAAAAAAAGAGGAGGATTGGCGGATGTTAGCACAGGGCTGATCTCCTCACAAAAAAAAAAAAAAAAATCCTTAAATTTGGTTTCGGTGAATTACATAGGAAAGAAGTCATAGAAAAGCAATGAAGCAGTCCGTAAGAGGCAGGCAGCTGCTAGGTTGACTTGCCACACTTCCATAGATATAGTTAATGAGTCCAAATAGATTTAAACTCATGGCACAGCAGGCAGCTTGAGTTTCATATTCAAATTGGTTCCCCATTCCCACTAAGTCTTGTGGGGGCAATTTCTGCTTGTGTCATAGCTGAGGAACCCTGAGCTCATAAAACTCCCGGTTTTAAGAGGACTGCTAGCAAACTAGCCCAAAAGGAAGACATTATCTTTGTACTTCTCAGGAAACAAATCTGCCCTCTGACTGGAAGAGAGACGCTATCTCTAGCTTCCAAGGGTGTCTGCAAACATCCTTGAAAAGATTGCCAAGACAAAAGTGTCATAAGATGCGTACAAACACTATGGAGCATTACCTCTCAACAGGAAGAAAGCTGATTTGCTTTTTATGGGATCTGTGAGGCCTTCTGAAATGTAACTTGTTTCTTCTACTTACCCCGCCCCCAAACACCTCCACCTGAAGTAGAACTGTCAGCTAGTTCTAAAAATGTAAACAGCTAATAACACTAAACTTCCTAAGATTATACTAAACTTGAAATTAAGAATTAAGATAATTTTTAAAAGTTAAAAGTAGGGGCTGGCCTGGTGGCACATCGGTTAAGTGCGCGCGCTCCACTTCAGTGGCCCGGGGATTGCAGGTTCAGATCCTGGTCATGCACCCACTCACCGCTTGTCAAGCCATGCTGTGGGGGCATCCCATATAAAGTGGAGGAAGATGGGCAGGATGTTAGCCCAGGGCCAGTCTTCCTCAGCAAAAAGAGGAGGATTGGCATCGGATGTTAGCTCAGGCTAGTCTTCCTCACACAGACAAAAAAAGTTTGTTAAAGGAACAAATAAAGAAATGAATGCTACTTCAGTTTAAAAAAAAAAAGTTAAAAGTAAAAATATAAATAAATGAAACTTGTGTGTACAGTCTTGGACAAATAGATGAACTTAATTGTGATCGTGCTTCATATAAGAATCAGCAAATAATATATCCAATTTCATGAAGTTTAAAAATATAAGATGGAATTTTTACATTATTGAACTGAACATCTTTAAAAATGATTTTTAGGAAATTTTTTGTTGTCTAAATAAATTAATCAATAATAATGAGCCTTTTCTGATTTTGTGTAGTACATTAGTGTTAGGCAATCAGAAGAAATTCTTGAGGAACTTTCAGATCTAAGGTTTTTTAGAATAATCTCTCTATTGCTGATTTATTTTAACCACACAGTATTCTATACTATGAAGATCCATTAATTTATAAAGGAAACAGTTGCATGTGGTAACGCAATATGTCTAAAGATTTTTGGTTGTAGTAGATAAAATCTTTCTTTTACTAAAGACTTGATGAAGGTTACCAGTAGTTCTCCAGCTCTAACAGAATAATTTCTTTTCAGAATCTCTGGGGCTGCGTAGTAAAGTTCTGAGGAAAATTGAAGAGCTCAGGACAAAGGTGAAAACCCTTTCTTCTGGAATTCCTGATGAATTTATATGTCCAATAACTAGGGAGCTTATGAAAGATCCTGTCATTGCATCAGGTATGTGTGATGCTATTCTAAGTTTCAGGGCATATTATGTGCTAAATGAATAAATAATGTCTACAGTTCATAGAAGTTTATTTAAATGTGGAAAATTTTCAAAATTCAAAATTTTCAAAATGTTTTATTTCTCATAAGTAGTTTTGGTTTTCTTTTTTCTTTTTAAAAACTTAGATCCCAAGTGAACTATTGAACACTATGTATTAACACATAAAACTGGATGGAGTAGGTTTAGATAAGATTAGAGAAAAAGGAATACGTTTTACAGCTTTACTTAAACTTGCAAAATGTGTATTTAGTTACTAGAATGTAAAGTTAAAACATTGTTTTTAAGATAAACTGTTGAGATCTCTTGTGTTTATTTTGTCTCTCATGAATTTAAACAAGCTTATAGAAATAAAAATTTAAAGATTATAAAGTTTCATCATTCTACATTAATTTCTAATCTTTGTCAAACACGTACATACATACTTTACATAGTTGTAATCAGTGAATCCATATTGTTTTTTATTTTTGTATATAACTTTATTATATACATTTCTAAATATTGACTTAGTCTACATAATTTTCAGTTTTAATAACTATTCCATTGTGGCTCTGTGCTACATTTTGTTTGACTCTTCTACAATTTGGTGTACATGTGTTTGCAAATCTTTATGTTGTAAATAGCGTTGCACTGATATCTTGGTACCCGTTTCTTTTTGTTGTTACCATTACTTAGGATTATTCTCATGGCATGTGTGTCCCAAAGCAGAATTAACCAGTCAGAGAATATTTTATGAACATGAAAAAGAAAAATTTTGATAGTTTTTGTTAGATTTGTTATTATTTTCTAGAAAAAAAAAAGAGTGCTACCAGCAATATATATGTATACCTGTTTTCCCACAGTTTTGTGATCATTGAATTTTATAACTCTATTTTTGCGAGTTTAATAGTTGTTTGAAACTGTATTCCTTACATTCTAGGGAGGCAATAAATTTTTCTACATAGCAGTTGACCATTTAAACATGCTTGGGTATAAAATATTCATCTTATTTGATAATTAACTTATCTAAGGGACTTACCATGCATATTGTGGCCACGTGATTAGTGGAACTAATCATGTAGGCTAATTTTGTTAATATCATTTTAATATATTTGTCTCTACTTGCTCTGAACTTTTGTAGGCAGGAACATTTTTCCTTTATACAACTGTAAACATTTTCTTCTAGTTTTTAAAAAATGCTTAGCTCTCTTACATTTGGAATTTTATATTTGCTCTGAGATTTGATTGAATCAAGAACATATGTTTGTATTTTTTGCAAATATCCTCTATAATTGTAAAATATATCTTCATTGTCTGAAAAATTTTCAAACAAAACAGAGCTGTATAAAGTGAGTCATCTCATCTATCTGTTCCCAAAGTCAAGAATTATAATTCTAGATGTTTTTCTCTGTATATTCTTAAATATCACACTTTTAATACCAACAGAATCAAGATATTTTTACAAAACTGGGCTTACACATTTTATACTGTTCTGTATCATGTCTTTTTTTTTTTTTTTTGGTGAAATGTCCATGGATGTTTGCCTGTTTTAAGTATGTAGTCATCAGTAAATGCTGCTGTAATTTTTCTTGATTTAGTTCCCAGGGAAAGAAGGCAACATCATGTTATCTACTTTATTCTTTTAAAGGCTGCCCAATATTCAAGTGTATCTGTGTCCTGTAATTCATTTTATTCCCTGTTGATTTTTTGCCATTATAAACTACAACAGTGAGCATTATTGTATAAATTTATCCTTGCAGTCTTAACGTGAATATTTCTGTACGATAAATTAGTTAAATTTTTAAAATTTTATTATTTTTGTTGAAGCAATTGTAGATTCACATGCAGTTATAAGAAATAGCAGAGAGAGATCTTGTACACTTTGCCCAGTTCCCCCACTGGCAGTATTTTGCAAAATGATACTATAATATCACAACCAAGAGATTGACATTGATGCAATCCACAAATCTTATTTAGATTTCCCTAGTTTTACATGTGTGTTAAGTTCTGTATAATTTTGTCCCTTTTGGAGGTTTGAGTATCACCCACTAGTCAAGACAGAACAGTTCCAAACCCACAAGGACCCCTTCTGTTGCCTTTTTATAACTATGTCCATCACCTGCCTGCTCTCTTCCCACCTCCAGCCCTAATCTGGCCTCCATTTCTAAAATTTTGTCATTTCAAAAGTGTTATATGAATGGAATCCTACAGTAAATAACCTTTTGGGATTAGCTTTTTTGCTTAGCATAATCCCGAAAGAGTCACCGTCTATTTATTTTTAGTCTTCCTGTGTTACTTTGTTTTAGAGGTGTTCCCTGTGGAAAACCTACTTGAATTAATTTTTTTAAAAAACTCAGTCGTCCTCATCTTGAATAGAATTGAACTGATTTCTTTATATTGTGATTGATACATTTGGGCTAATTCCTGCCAGCATATGTTTCCAACTTACTTTGCTTTCTTCTAGTTCCCTTTACCCGCTTCTTTCCTGAGTTGATCACATGTCCTTTTTGGCTTCTTTACCCTGGTGTTTCTATCTATTGAATTAACTGCCTCAGAAAAATTTCTAAGACCTGTTTCTCCCTATATTTCAGGATTCTTACAGAGTATTTTTCTTTATCCATCCTTTTAAGCAGCATGTGCTTGGTGAAAAATATGCAGTACAGAAATAATTATTTTGAAAATGTGGAGATTCTGGTGTATCCTTTCAAATATTTTTCTGTCCATTTATAATTTTGTTCTGTAGCATATGGGATATAATACATACTTTAAAAAAGATTTTATTTACTTAATGTATCAGGTAGAATTCCCTGTCAGTATATTCAGAACTACTTCATTCTCAACTACAGGATAGTCTTTCATGGTATGAATATGCTATAAATTAACTCTTACTCTATTGATAGACATCTTTCTCCAAGTAATTCTGTAGAAAGAAATCTTCAGTCATGTACTATATACAGGTACATTTGTTTAAATATTACTGTTGGATAAATTCTTAATACTGATAGGCACTGCCATATTTTAAATTTAGTTTTAATTATGGTTACCTTTCATTATTCTTTTTAACAACTGGCTTGTTCAATTTTTGCTCTTTTAGACCTCCAGATAAATTTTAGAGTCGTTTTGTTATGCTACAAAAGAAAATCTCATTGACATTTTGATTGGAATTACAGAAAATCTAAAAACTAAATGTTAATTTGGGGGTGGAGTAAGGAGTAGAATGACAACTTTGCACTAGTGAGGTGTTCCATCTATTCTTTTGTTCCTTTGAGGTTTATTCTGAACATTTAAATATGTTAATTCATTTATATAGCTTTTTGGAAAAATCAGTGTTTGCACTTATAATTCATCATTTCAAAATTGTAAAAACCTAATAAACCCTATCTGACCACTTTGCTTTTTTATGAAAACATACACAGTGTTCTACATCAGTTATATAGGGAGAACACACACTCTGGCTTCTGTTATTGCAGTACAATTCAGTTTAATTCTGATTTTTTGTTTCAGAGTTTTCCTTTGATATATATTTTTATTTCTCTTGTTCGGGGAGCACAGTGCTTCTCGAATGGAATTCTGTGCTGTTGATCAATTCTGGAAAACATTCAGCCATTCTCATTCTATACGCCTTGTCTCTTTAGCCTGTCTAGGTAATTTTCTTAGACCTACCTACCAGTCATCTATTTTGCATTGTCTTTACACTATTTAACCTTTCCATTGAGATTTTTTTCAAAATTTCAATGACTTTATTTGTCATTTTTGGAAATCTGACTTAGCCTGTAGATTAAGGGCACAGACTCCGGGAGCCAGACTACTTGAGTTTAAATCCAGCTCTGTCCCTGCCGACTTATGTGACCTTGGAAAGTTATTCAGGCCATGCATCAATTTCCTCATAAGGTGGTTGTGCAGATTAAGTGAGTTAATATAGGTAACAGTGCCCTGGAACAGTGTAATGTTACACAATTAGCTATATGAGTATTAAATATTTATTTTTCATAATATATTATTTCTTAGATTCATTCTTATTTTAGAAAGACAGTACAGGTTGTATTCATTTTCTGAGGTTTGTGGGATCCTAACCCTTGCTCTTTGTTGTCTACATGTGTTCCTTTGTCTGCTCATCTTCAGTCAAGTATTACCTGTGGAATTCCATTGTGGGAAGAGGGTGTAGCTCCAGAGAGGTGTTGGGCTTGCTTTGTTCATTCCCAGAACAACAGGTGGGCAGCAGTGGGCTGAGCAAGCTTTTTTCTTGGACAACAGATATAAATTCAGAGGCTAGGCCAGTGAGCTAATATTTCTTACTTGAAGTTTTCACTAGGGTGAAGCCATTTCAACCTAGAAGTCAGCTCTCCGTGTAGAAAGATGCTTCTTTTAGTTACCATTTCTAAGTATAATGTAGCAGGAAATTTTGGGGTTTACTTACTCTGCTCTATTACCAGAAATGGAAGTCTAAGTAATGAATAAATCTTATAATAGGTATCATTACATGATATTTTACCAGAACCTATTCATCTGAGTATATTAAACTGAAATAAAATTTTGTGACTGGAGCTTATTAAGTATTTTTTACTTCCTAGAACTATCTAGTACAGCTCTGGATTTGTCAACTCAGCATCTTGGTTTATAGCAAGAGTCAGATGGTGCTCTTTGGATGAAAGTAATTAAATTTTTTTCTTTATTGAAAGTTTTAAAATCCTTAGACCAATTAAAGTACTGAAAACAAGCAAATTTAGTTAGTATTGAATGTAATGTGCAATATGTATCATCTTTTAAAAATTGTCAGTGTTTTCCCCTGGTGATACGTTTGATTTCAAATAAGTTAACTCTAGTTGCAGTCAACTTCATACGTGAACTTTTACAAGAAACTAGGAGTGTCATTAACACAAATTGTCAGCTGCGGTTGTTTTTAGTTACAATAATGTTTAAGTGCATTTTTATTCTACATGAAAGGCTCTGTGTGTATGTGGGGGTGGGGAAGTGC